ATCCCATCCCATCCCATCCCATCCCATCCCATCCCATCCCCATCCCCATCCCCATCCCCATTCCCGGGCAGCCCTGGGCACACTCCGGTACCTCCAGTCCCTTCCTGCTCCGAGCCCGCCTGCCCAGCTGAGCCGCATCCTCCTCCCGGGAATTCCAGGGCATCGACTGCGACTCCTGCGGGACAGACACGGGTGTAGGAGCCCCCATCCCCCGACCCCGCATTCCCGCATCCCGGCTCACCTCGCTCAGCACCGAGAAGCAGCCGGAGCAGGGTCTGTGCGGCCGCCGCTGGCCCTGTGGAGGGAAGGTTGGGATGGGGGCCGGCATCTCCCAGAGCGCAGGGTGGGAATGCGGGCACGACCGGCAGGTGATGGGAATGCCGGGGAGCCCCATCCCGCCGTGCCCTCCCTGGGATCATTCCCGCGGCCCGGGAATGCCGAGCCCATCCTGGCAGGGACGGGAGGCTGGAAAAGCCGCAGCCCGGGATTTGTCCCAGTGTGAGGCCAGCCCCGAGGAACAGAGAGGGGGCAGGCTGTGCCGAGCTCTGTCATTCCAGCCCTGTTATTCCCAGTTTTACCCCTCTCCACACACAACCGACCTCTCTCCTCTCTGCCGCCATCCCGGAGTCGCCGTGGTCAGCTCCGGCCACTCCGGCCATGGCCACGGCCACGGCGCAGAGCAGCCACAGCCTCATGGTGCCACCGCGGCTGTCCCGGGACTGCGGCCACTGCCCTGCCTGGACATTGGCCCCGATGTCACCACGGTGACCCTGGAAAGGTCACTCACAGCCGGAGCTGCCGGACACAGGGAGAGGAAAGGGCTGGCTCTGAATAAGGGATGGGCTGGAGGAAACGTCTCCTCACAATTCTGTCTTGGGAGTCCTGCTCTTCCTGCACACCTCTCATGGAGTCCTGGAATGCTGGCATGGCCTGGGCTGGGAGGGGATTTAAGGATCATCCCGTCTCCTGCCAACAGCAATTCCAGATTCTGCTTCTGGAACCCCCATAATTCCAGGTTCTGGGATTGCTGTTAAACCAAACCGGGCTCGTTGTATGCGTTTAGTGATGAGCAATTAGTCCTGACCACTCCTGAGCATCCCTAAGATACGATGGAACGTGATTCATTCCACGTTCTGGCTTTTGGTGGCGCAGACGCGAAGGGTCCAGGCAGGACAGAGGAATTCCATAGGGAATTCCAGGGGGTAGATGGAGACTACTTGCACAGGGTTGGCGGAAAGGGACTAATGGAGAAGCTGCACACAGGAGATGCAGAACCATTGGGAAATTTATCCGCAAGAAGCGGGAAATCTGGAGGAGGCGAATCCAGGAGCCAGCAGGGATGGACGCGCGGGCAGCGGGGAACACAAGCACGGGACAACACGGAGCGGGGACCACATCTGAGCGCACTTTTGGTGGAAAACCTGAGGATTCTCACGCTAATTTGGGATTTCGGGAGAATCGCTGACTCTGGAGGCCAAAGGGCACCAGAGAGGGCGGGAGCGGGGCGGGCTCGGCCTGCGCTGGCACGGAACGGGAAGGAAAAGCCTCGGGGCAGGGACACATGGGCAGGGCCGGCTCGGCCCTTCCCCTTCCCGTTCCCGTTCCCGTTGGGTTCAGCCCCGCCTCCGGTCCCGCCTCCCGGGCCGGGTCACGGCGGCGCTTCCGCCGAGGGCCGGGCCAGTGACCGGAAGCGCGTGCGGGAGAGGCGGCGGGACCCCCGGGACCCCCGGGACCCCCGGGACCCCCCCGGGACCCCCGGCCGCCATGGCGGGGCAGGAGCAGGTAGGAGCCGGGAGCTGGCGGGGAGACCCCCGGGCAGCCCTCGCCTCCGCCCGGGGGTCGATGTGCGACCCCCGACCCCACCCCATCACCCCTCCAGTGCCCCCCACTCCCATGGAATTCCGCCCTGAAGACCCCACCCCCCATCACCCCCACCCCATCACCCCCCAAAATCCCCCATCGCTGCCCAAATCTCCATCAGCCCCTAAAAACCCCCATTCCATCCCCCTAATCCCACCCCATCACCCCCCAAAATCTCCATCGCTGCCCAAATCTCCATCAGTCCCTAAAACCCCCCATTCCATCCCCCTAATCCCACCCCCCACCCCAAAATCCCCATCGCTGCCCAAATCTCCATCAGCCCCTAAAA